CCTGTCAGATGGGGCTCCGGGATGGTCCCGGGGCGCCCACACCTGCCTCTTTGAAAAGGCAGGTCCCGGGGCCCCAGCCCTAGAGTGACAGGAGGAGGGGCTTGTATGGGAACAGCCCCCCCCGAGAAGCCGGGCTGTGGCCCCACTGGTCTTTGGGGACCTGGCACTGGCTGCCCCCCAGTTCGGGGAACACAGGAAGGCTTTGGGGCCTTCAGCTTTGTTGGATTTGCAGCCTGGTCTGCATCCCCTTGTGTCTGTGCCCTCTGCCCCACCCCAGAGCCTTCCGTCCTGCCGGGAGAGACATGCCTGCTGGGAGACCCGCCGGCCCTCTGCGTTTTCAGAAGAACCCGAGGAGGAAGGCGCTGCGGCCAAGTACTCGCAGGGTCTGACTTCCTCTCGGGCTGAGGACAGTCGGGAGTTGGGTCAGGGCAGGAGTCATGGCCTGGGACGCAGTGCCGTCCTCTGGGCAGGTGCCCAACAGCCAGAAAAGACTCCTTTCATGTGAGCCAGAAGCCAACCAGACCCTGAAGCTGCGGAGTCGGACGATGGTTGGGATGGAGGCCAGGCAGGTCAGCCGGGGTGGAGCTGGGTCTGGCCAGGTTCTGGCTGTGGGTTGGGCTTGTGCCGGGATTCCCTTTCTCCTGGGTGCCTTTTTCTGGGAAGCAGAGTATGAGGTAATGAGGGTCCTGGCTTGGAGTCCGGAGACCTTGCTTCTTGTCTTGGCGGTCACTTTCAGTTATATGACCTTGAGCAAGTCCCTTTGCCTCTGTACAGTTCATTTCCTTTAAAAAATATTTTTATTGATTTCAGAGAGGAAGGGAGAGAGAGATAGAAGCATCAGTGATGATAGAGAATCATTGATTGGCTGCCTCTTGCCTGCCCACCCCCCCCTTCCCCCCATTGGGGATGGGGCATGTGCCCTGACCTCCTGGTTCATGGGTAGACGTTCAACCAAAGAGCCACACCGGCAGGGCTAGTTCATTTCCTTTTCTATAAACTGGGAGTAGAGATTCCTGACTTACCTCAGTCACCAGGCTATTGTGAAAAGGAAGGACTGACGTTTTATTAGATTTTTTTTCTTACAATTTAAAAAGACAAACAAAAAACACCTTTGGAATAGTAAACGTGGGGTTGGCGGAGTTCTGAGAGTTTCCTTGTTATTCCAGGCAGTCGTCAGAGGGCTTGCTTTCTGATTCTTAGGCTTAGATTAACTAGAATGAAATATGTATATTTGAGTTGAATCTGTTAAAAATTTTAAAAAAATCTGTTGATAATTTGATTCAGAGGAGTGGGGTTACACATTCAAAGTACTTTTCCTCTTTCACTGTGTTCACAGTTGAATTGTTGATTTTAAAACAGGCCTGAATGGTAGTTTCTGAACTAATGAGTGGGGCTATTTGTGCTGCGAGAGATTAGGTCAGCCTTCCACCTCCGGGATCTTTCAGGAAGAAATTGCTCTTGAAACGAGGAGGGGGACCCAGGGCTGCTGCCAAGAGCTTTCGCTGCTGCTCTCTGCATCCGGCCCCTCCCTTACCACCCCAGCTTCTTACTCTCATCCTCCTGGCTTCTTCAGAAAACCTCAGCCATTGGTTCCCATCAGTCTCCCCCAAGTCCTTGCTTCCTGCTCCCTTCTCTGCCCTGAGCTTATTTTAGACCATCAAGGTTGGAAGACAGATCGGCGATAATTGAGGCCACCCCCCTGTAAGAGGTGAGGGCACTGGAGTCAGTGAGACTGGCTTTTGCCCTGGGATGTCCTCGTCCCGGGCAGGCATTTCTCCCAGCCCTCTGATTTGAGCTTATTCCCACAGCTGTGACTTGTGTTTGTTTTCCCCCAGAGAGGTACAGAAATCTCTTTCAGGGTCTGCATGGTAGCCTCAGACCTGGAAGAGCCTTAAGATCAGCCAACCTACTTTTAACCAGGAGGAGACCAACCCCAGCAGCTTGCCCAGTTCGGGGACACCGTGAGGAATTTTCATCCACTGTTCTTGCCCTACTCGTATAAAGGGTCTCCAGTGGCCTCCCATACCCTTGTGGTGAGGAGGATTGCGTCAAGGGTGATGATGTTACGGAAGGTTCCTTGGAGAGCAGGCTTCGTGTATCCCACTGGGGACCTTGAGATTGCTAGCTCGAGCAGACGAGTTCCGCAGTCTTTCCTCACTACTGGAATTCAGAGTGATCCAGGGAAAGGAATAAGCAACAATCCTCTGTTACCTGTCAGGGCATCCTCCAGTCCCAGCCCCTGTCCACAGGGTAGCATCTGTCCTTCAGTTCTTCTCTGATGCATTTCCTGTGTAGATATGGACTCAGGTTCATAGTTAAAACCTTTTTTAACCTAAACTGTATGTACATATGCGCAACGTATTTTTTTCTGGTTAGTAACATGTGTTACAACTCTCTTCATGGTATTAAATACAAACATACAAAACTCATTGTGTATACTGTACCACCAAATATGTATTATAGTTTTACTGTATTGATGGACAGCAAGGTTACTTCTGGGTTTTACTGTTATAAATGAAATGCTTCCACGAACAGCTTTCTAAATGTTTTTGGGTATGTGTGCCTGCATGAATGCAAGTATTTTTCTGGGGCAAATACTTAAAAAAGATGACAGGATTGACATCAAGCGCATTACATCTTTTATAGGTAGCACCAAATTGCCTTTCTAAAATGGCTGTGTCATACTATTGCCAGGATTGGATATTATCAAATGATTTAATTCTTTAATATTTTCCCTAATTACCAGTGATGTTAAGCCTGTCTTTATAATATTTGTTAAATATATTTTATTTCTTTAGTGCGTGCCAGTTCCTGTTGTTTGCCGTGTTTTTGTTTTTGTTTTTCTAAATTGGGTTAGTTCTCCACCCCCACTGATTTGTAGGAGTTTTCTGTATATACTCGAGGTAAGGGGTCCACAAACCTTTTCTATATAAGGCCAGATAGTAAATATTTTAGCCTTGTAGGTCATACAGTTTTTGTAGCAACTATGCAACTTTGCTATTATAGTGCAATAACTGCAGTATAAAGCTGCTGTAGACAATACATAAACTAATGGGAAATGACTGTTTCCAATAAAACTTTATTTACAAAGCCAAACAGTTTTCAGGATTTGGTGACTCCTGTTCTAGGTATTAATCTGACACCTGCCATTTAGCGCAGGTATTTTCTCTCAGGGCGTCACTTGTCTTTTAATTTTTATGTATGTTCATTTCTCTATATCATATGGTAGTTTTAAATATGAATGCAGTTAAATTTCCATATTTTCCTTTATAGTTTGCAATCCTTTTAATAAATAGTGACTTTTTATTTATTTTGTTAACCCTCACCCAAGGATATTTTTCCATTGATATTTTTAGAGAGTGAAAGAAGGGAGACACACACACACACACACACACACACACACACACATCATTGTGAGAGACACACATTGATTGGTTGCCTCCTGCACACATCCTGACTGGGGTGGTGGATGGAACCTGCAACCCAGATACATGTCCTTGACCAGGTATTGAACCCAAGACCTTTTGGTGTGTGGGCTGATGCTCTAATCCAGCCGTGGGCAAACTACGGCCCGCAGGCCGGATCCGGCCGGTTTGAAATGAATAAAACTAAAAAAAAAAAAAAAAAGACCTTACCCTTTTATGTAATGATGTTTACTTTGAATTTATATTAGTTCACACAAACACTCCATCCATGCTTTTGTTCCGGTCCTCCGGTCCAGTTTAAGAACCCATTGTGGCCCTCGAGTCAAAAAGTTTGCCCACCCCTGCTCTAACCACAGGAGCAACACCGGTCAGGGCTGTAGTTTGTAGTTTTAATCTTAGCATACAAAAGTCTTCTTTCCAAAGTTATAGAAGCATTTCTAAATGCTTTTATGCATATGCTCATGATAGCACTATTCACAGTAGCCAAAACATAGCAACAACCCAAGTATCCACGGGTGGATAAATGGATAAGCAAATTGTGGTTTATCCATATATTGGAATATTATCCTATATAATAAAAGGCCAGGACCATAAGCGTCACGACAATGACCGCTCAACCAGTCTCCATGAGGTGCATTGAACACCTCTTGGTCCCCCCGCCCTCCTCCAGGGCTCCGATTGCAGCATGGTGAACGGGGAACCACGGCAAATGGCGGGGATGAGGTGGGGGTTGGCGGTGGGGCAGGACTGGGGACTGTTGAGCAGGGCGGGCGGTGGGTGGCGGGCAGCAGCAAGCATTGAGGGGCAGCTGCAGAGAAGGTTGTGGAGCGTTGCAGAGGGTGGGGAGCTTAATGGAGCGTTGCAGGGTGTCAGAGGTGAGCGTTGTGGAGCTTTGCAGGGCGGGGAGCGTAGTGGGGTGTTGCCGGGCTTCCCGGAGTGTCGGACATGGCCCTGATTGCAGGCGAGGCGTAGGGACCCTACTCGCGCACGATTTCGTGCGCTGGGCCTCTAGTTCAGTTATAAAAAGGAATGAAGTACTGAGACATGTTACAGCATGATTGAACCTCAAAAACATGATGTAAAGTGAAAGAGTCAGACACAGGGTCACAGACTGTCTGATTTGTTTATAGGAAATATCCAGAATAGGTAAATCCATAGAAACAAAGCATATTAGTGGTTGTCAAGGTTCTGGGGGAGGGTGGAATGAGGAGTGCCTGCTGATGGGATCAGGTTTCTATTTTGGGGTGATGAACTGTTCTAAACCAGATAGAGATGCTGTTGCATAGCATGTGAATGTACTAAATGCCACTGAATTGATCACTTTAAAATGGTCCATTTTATGTGAATTTTACCTCAATAAAAATATGCACAAAAATTGCAAGTGCGTGTGCACACACAGGTACATACTTCCCAAACCTCCCTCTGCTTTTTGTGTCATTTGGAGTGACTATCTGATTATTTCTAGAGTCTAGATCAGAGATTGACCTTTTTTTTTTTTTTTTTTAAAGTCAGATAGTAAATACTATTGCAGGCTTTGTAGGCTAACTGGCTACATCGAGGAGTTTGTGTAGGTACTCATAGAACCATTTAGAATGTAAAAGCCATTCTTGGTTTTGGGCCTTAAGAAATCCAGTGGGTTAGATTTGGCCTACCAGGCTTAGCTTGCCAAACCCCTGGGTTAGACCCACCACAGCTGTAATTTAAAATTTTCTAGTTGCCACATTCAAGAAGTAAAAAGAAATAGGTGAAGTTAATCTTAATTGACCTAACATATCCAAAATATTCTCCTTTCAACATGTAAAGAAGTTATATGCAGTTATACCTTTATGGCATCTTTCAGTTCAGACTATCCACTTGCCAAGGGCTCCAGAGCCATGAGTGGCTGGTGCTGCAGTGTAAGACCAGATGCTGGAACTGCAGCAGCCCTGCCCACAGCTGGGCCCTTGGGGCCCGGGGGGAAGAAGAGAGGGGAAGGCTGTGCTTGTAGGTTTCTGTCCTCTCTGAGGGCGCTGTGCAGAGCAGTTTCTCTCAGGACTCTGTGCCCCTCGCCTCCGTAGTGTCTTTTTTGGCCAACTTTCAGGGGTTCTTGCTTTGAATATTACATCTTCTTTGATGAGACTTTTTAGTATGGTTGAGAGCGTTGGGCCTCTGATCCTCACTCCCTATCCAGGGGCAAAAGGGAGGAGGGTGCTGGCCAAGGCCACGTTGGCCTGCCCCTGGAGAGAGCCTGCGAGCAGGGGGCAGGCTGGTGTGACCCTCCAGGCTCCTCACTGGATGTGCTGGCTGCGCTCTGACACAGCCCTTTGTCTGTGCTGAGTGTTTGCAGCTGTGTCCAGCTGCCTCTCCCTGCGTTCTAGCTGCTGCCTGACCTTTGTCTCTGGATTCTTTTTCCCTTGCTGCACAGAAGGACTACAATGGAAGACCTATGTTCTATTCTTGGCACAAACTGCAGGGTGACCCAGGAAGGTCACTTATGTTCTTGGCGCCTCGGTTTCCCACTCACAAAGTGGGTGCCCATATTCGCTGTGCAGGGAGTGGTGTACTAATGGAATGAAGGGAGGATGCTGGCCAGGCCTGTGGAGGTGGCTGGACCCCCTTGGTGGTAATATTCCAGGAAGTGTCCTGAGGACCACTGCTGTGGGGGTAGCCTTTGTTTAGGCTGTCCCTGATTACTAGGACCCTGATATTGTTTAGCTGAAATAAAGAACTTGCACTTGGAATGTTTACTAGTATCGTTAAATTGTTCTCAGGCTGCTGTTTAGCCTTAAAAGAGAGGGAAGAGCATTGAAAGCAGGGAAAAGAGACACAGGGAAGTAACTTCTACTGTGGCGTCCTAATACTGTGGGAGGGAGGTGGGTGGACAGGGAGAGGTATAAGAGCACTGAGTGCTAATTTGGAAGCATTCAACCTGAGAAAATAGGCTTTTCATTTATCCTTGAAAACTCACTCTCCAAGCCTCATTTTCCCCTTTGAAATGACACAGTTGCACCAGGTCAGTGGTTTTGAAACTTTCATTATATCTTGGATCCTTTTACTCAAAGTAATCACATACGGAAATGCCATATATGAGACATAAAAAGTGACAATTCTGGAATACATTAAGTTGGTAGAAGCCTGGAGCTTGGCTTCTTGTCCACCTCCACTTCTCATCTCTGGAGCCTCCTGTCACTTCCCTAGATTGTGTGGTTTCTCCACTTTTAGCGGTTGAGGGTCCTACGAAATCATCCAGGATGGTTTCACAACTGCCCTGGGATGGAACCCTGGATGCCCATCCCCACTGCTCCCATCACAGTACCACTTCCTTTGGAGGTGAGAGCCAGTGGTTGATTCGCTGGCATTTGGGCTCTGTAGACTGGGACTGGAGTCTTCCAGACCATTCACTGTGTATTTTTTCTAGTCAGGCTCATTGTAGTTCCCATGAAACCACAGCTTTTTGCCAGGAGCTTATAACCCTCTGCTTCCTCTCCTCCAACTCAGTTTGGCGTTTGCATGTTGTGCTGGACGCAGGGCAACTTGCAATGAGAGTGAGCAGATGGGCCCTCCTAAGTCCACTCGCTGAATCAAGTGTTACAGACCATGACCTCATCCTGCCCTTGGCAGCTGGGAGGAGAGCCGGGCTGGTGGCAGCATGACCACAAGGGAGGTTGGGTGGCCCGATCAAGGCCACCAAGCTGCCTAGCCATGGGCTGTGATATAGAACTCAGTTCCATGAGGCTTCCACTCCAGTGTTCGTGTGGCCTGGAGTCTGTTTTCCTGCTCACTTTGCTTGTAAACTTGTGCTGTTTCTGTAGCAGGCTGGGGTATTGCAAAATAAATCAAAGCTAATGGACTTCTAATTCCTAGTCAGGGGAGAGCAAGGACCCGCAAGGGGCTGGGTGATCTCCCTCCATTAAGCAAAAGTTAGCAGATGGAGCCACCAAGGCTCAGAAAGATTCAGCGACCTGCCTAGGTCACAGGGAGGCCAGTGCGGGTTTTTCCAAAGTTCTTTCTGTTTGGCCTTCCCGTCTGATAACCTTTGCTATAAAAAACAGGGCCTTACCCTGACTTGGATTTCTTAGTTGCTGGGGTGTGTGGGGTATATGTGGGGAGTCGGCAGTTGAGGACATTGTGCAGGTCCTCCTGCAGGTTCTGAAATCTCCTTAGCTCCGGGGTATCCCACGTTCCCCAGGCAGGCTGCTGGCCTGTGGCAGTGACCACACCTTTGGCATAGCTCTGCACAGGAAGTACTGTTTTCCCCTGAAGCAGGAATTCAAAATCAGGAAATAGTTGTGTCCTTGATCTCTGTGGGTCCTAAAGCACAGGGCAGACCACAAGGCTCCACGCTCACCTTCAAGACTGGTCTCTCACCTGAGTCCTGGTCCGTAGCTAAAGGGGCTCGTGGGCA